AACAACGATGTCTCCCTTTTGAGGGTGCTCGCACTTGAACTGGTTAGTGGTGGGCCTGTGTGTGCCATCTACTTCTCCTTCTGTCCAAACCCACCGCAATCTGGCGTCAGGAGAAAGTCAGGATTAAACGTGGGTGCATAGACAGCAGAACTTGCACTTAATTGTGTCTTTCAACCATATGCAATAGAAACAGGTTCTCATGCCGAGTATTGGATGTGCCTTCTGGCACAACTCAATTGCACCCTTGTGCTTCATATGCGGGTTTCGTGTAAGAGGTCTTCCGGCAGACGATCGCTGCCAGCAGAGAGAGAGAGAGAGAGAGAGAGGCGGTACACTTCAGAGTTTGGGTGCCTGGGTCTTCGAGTGTGTGCACGTTGCAACAGGTACCACCTATTTCGACCTTTTACGAAGAATGCTACTTCGAATGTTTGGCATCTGACCCACTGACGGTAACCTGGGCCTGGCAGTTCTCGCATTCAGGAAGTCTTTTAGGTTCACAGACATTCGCAGGTTCAGCCGATGTCCCCACTTCTACCTGGTCTATGCGAGTACACCTAAACCATCCGGTGATATTCCATGGTGATTATCGGTGGTCCGTCTGTTGTGACCTGTGACAAGATCGTAGGTCTTGCCCTTTTCTCGGCCTGCCGTGGTACAATGAAAGCCAACGTATGTTTTTATACTTCTTTTGGCATTTACTCGATACGCGGGCTATACCACTGGATATCTCGGTAAGGATGCAATATACGACCCCAGTTAAGGAACCAAAGGTAGTTCAGCATATAGTACGGGACCGGTGGTAATAAGGATTTTGTGGATGAGGCTAAATGAAGAAGAGAGCATCAACCGAACCCTAACCACATCCATTGTGTTCATTAGGGTTGGTATTCGTTGTCGGGCAAGTAGGATTGCACAATAGTTAGTTCTCCCAAAATGTGTACGAGTTGCGAGAGCCGATGGCTTTACATCGCGTAGACCTCTATGTGCAATGCCATTCTTAGATGATTTGACCCACATTTTTACGGAATTTCGACGGGCGCACGGATGAGATCGCCTCTGCGCCATCTTTCATTACGGCAGTTGCGTAGCTGCGGCGTATTAATAGTCGGCGCTTGAAAAGTTGCCAGTTGGCCCGATAGATTCGCCCGCCTACGGCCAAAAAAGCTATTATGCGGCCCGACTAACCGGACAGCGAATGCTAACCCCACGAACACAACGGATAGACTTAAGGTTAGATTGGCGTCTGATACGGTCGCTTATTCCTCGCTGACCTAGCCTTTGTTTCCTGAGCGGAGTCGCACCTTGCGTCCTTGCCAAGATCTCCTACACTGTCCCCGATTTTTTCCACACTCCTTCTTGGTTGCCCTTTTGGGGAGAAGGCTCGATCGCATTTCCTCAGACTGACTAGGGGCGGCTAAGTGCTTTAAAAATTGTTCAACCGATACTCCAGATTTTGAAAATTGATCTCTCGGTAAGAAGTCTTCTGGACCAGGCTGATTGCAGTGAGTTGGTGGCTATAAGCCTGACAGTCACATTCTGTCACTGCTACAAGGTACATCTCGACTCCGCTTACGCCTTTCAAGTGCACACGAATATTCAACCGTCCCTAACCCACGATTTGGGCCCATCGGCGACTCGCTCTTGAATTCGTTCATAGTATGGCAGGGCTTCACTACATCTACCCACTCTCTAGTCCCGCTGCCCCCCTCCCTCTCGTGGAAAGACCAAGTCAGGAAGCATGGAGACGAGCGTGGGTACAGTGGCCGACTAGCTTAAACAGTCCGTCTACCCGTGCCCCGCGTCCTGGTTCGTAGACCTCTCATGTACCAGACTGCAAAGGCGCTGTTTCAGATTAAGTAATACTGCCATATTAAACAGGACTCATTGCAGTTGGACTTTCATTTTGGAGAAAGGCTGAGTTATCTTTTCATTTAGTCAGCTTCAAGGTCACGACTCCAGTACAGGGTGGCGTCAGACCACATGTCGTTATTTCTAGTAGACACTGAATCCGAGCCAGATCGAACTCACCCTCTTCTGTTTTCCAG